CCACCCCCACCCACCTACCCACCATCACCACCAACCACCCTTGCCATCCGCCACCCACCTGCCACCACCACCCACCACCACTACCGCCACCACTTGATACCACCTGCCATCGTCACCCACCCACCCACCACCTACCACCACCATCTGTCAACTTATCTGCCACCACCACCGCTAACCACCACCATCACCGCCACCGTCACCCACCCACCCACCACAGCAGCTACTCACCACCCACCACCCACCGTCACCACTTATCCACCACCGTCTTTTGTCGCCACTTGCCACCAACTTATCATTTTTCACTCTTTTTTATATTTTTTAAATTTTTTTAAACATTTTGTCATTATTAAACGCGTTTGTAGTTTATATTTTTCTAAAAATAAACAAAAAAAAACAAAAACCAATTTATAAAATTTTTATAAATATAAACTGAAAACGTAAACATTATCAAACACATCCTAAGTCATTAGTTTTTTTTTTTAAAAAAAAAAAACACTTAAACTATTTCTATCTAACAAATATAAACAAAAATTATACAAAATAATTTCACACAAATTTTCTAATTAAAATAAGTTATAAAAACATTTCCACTCAGACTTTCAAAATTTAGTACGTTATTTTCTTGAAGAGTTAGATAGCCAACATAAAAAAAATTTCGCCAGATGTCAAATTTATTATTTTATTATTTTTAAAATTTTTAAAATTTAAACTCATTGTGTGTTTCTTTCACTTGAAGAAAAAGAAAAGAAAAGAAAAGAAAAGAAAAGACATAAAGAGATAACACCAAAAGACATATCACCTTTTAACACGTCAGGTAAATTCATTTTTAATCGTAATGATTTAGAACTAATGAGAGAAAAATTAAAAAATAAAATAAAATAAAAAAAAAGCACAATACACATGTGATAGTGGGTGCGACCCACCATCATGTAAAGCATTTTTGTTCATTTAATATGCCACAACAGAACTGTTAAACTACCGCATTAGATTTGACACATCGGGTACAGATACTCTACGCAACTATTTCTCTGCAACAAATATAACTAATGCAGAATAAGCATTTCATACATCACGTTGAATTTATTAGTTATGACAGTACGAGTTACTTTACAGACCACAAATATGAAA